TATGATTCTATGAAAGAAAAAACCACGAGCTAGGAACTATGCATTTTTCTTGTAGTGAGGGTCAATCAAGGATCTCGAAAATGTTTCCTTGTAGTGAGGGTCACATACCTCTATAAGGTGTTATGACAAGCAGTGATAGTTTCATCGGTCGGAACGGCGCTCATTCGCACAAGTAGGCGGTTGATACTACGGTGGTTCGGTCATAGTTTTTTGTAGCACCTCTTGTTCTTGAAGTCTAGAATGCGTTCACGGATACAGTTGAAAACAAATCACGTAAGAATCAATTGAACATATCCAAAGCACAAACAATAACGAGATTTCGATCTGGATTTTTCAAACCTCAACATTTCTTCTTCGTTTCGATTGGTTTTTCTTCTGTTATGTTGTTTGTTCGAGATCGGTCAGTGCTTTTATTTCTTTTTCATTGGAGACATAAACGCCGTCGTTTATAACCATGTCCGGTTTACAGCTTGATTCCTCAATTCGTTTTTTGATTTTGAAAACAAACAAGAAACTTTGAGTGAAGATGAAAGATACTCTTTATTGATGTATTTCAACCTTAACCTCTACCATAGCTCACTCTCTCATATTTATACAATAATTCTCACTAGGGTTTCAGAAAAGAAACATCTAGAACTACTGACAGATTTCAGTCACATATTTCATCATCAATTGAAGATAAGAGTGGCGAAAATCTGTTGAAGACTCTATGTTGACCATCCGTACATTGCCTTGCTCTGGTTTCCTCTGCGTTTCGTTCTTTGTCCTTTTCTTCAAAGAGAGATGACCGTTGCATCTTGTCGTTTTTCATCTCTTCAAACATATCAGCTTTGGGCCTCGACTTCTTGTGTTTCTCCTTCGKCCCAACAGACAACACTTCARTTTGTTTTGCCTTTAGCACAAGACCTTCTGTTCCGACCGGAGTCTTTGCTTCATGAGTTATAGCCGAACCCTATGTTTCGTCTAGAGACTTTACCGAAGAACAGTGTACTCTTACAGATTTATTTCGGAATTTTTGGTTCCGTTCGGTATACTTTCAATTACGATAATTTTTTACACTTCACATTTGTGAAAAATATCAAGAAAAATATGAATTTTCCGGTATAGCTTGAAACTATATTATTAAACCGAACTTGACCAGATCCGAACCGGTTCTTCCATGGTCCATGGAGTGAGTCCGGTAT